CTCATAACTAGCTATAGTCTATTACTTGCCTTGGTTTTCGTGACAATTTGATGTACTCGTACAGCGTTACGATTGTAGTGCAATTACTCTACGGTACACCGCCGAGTCCTATTAGTATTATAAAGTCTTTGCAGAGATGAATATGCTTTTGGATCATGTACACGAACCTGTGGTTGTGAAGGGGTGAAGCTTAATGAAATTATATTCCTGGATTTTTTGTTTGGGGAAACATGCAGTGAATGTGCATACGTTGCAGCGCGCGCATAGCAGAATAAGATGAAGTCTGTACGTGCCCGAGTTAATATTTTAAATGAATGGTATACTGAGTCTTAATGCAGAAAAAAAATAGTTAATTGAACTAGCAAAATAAATAAATAAATAAATAAATAAATAAATAAAATTGCTCATAAAACAAAGACTTGCAAACTATTCCACAATAAAACTTTCAAATACTAACTCATTATGATTTCTTTCGGAAGTAATAAAATAGATTAGCAGTAGGCAGATTATCCACTCACGTTTAATTCGATCGCTCTGTTATATACGCTCGTGCCATTTTATTACATTTTAGCTCACAATCACGGCTTGTATTGGTAGTTTTTAAGTCTTCCTTACAAAAAAATCAAGAAAATGTTATTACTTGATTAAAATGTAAAAATTAGTCTTATAACCCTAGGTGCTTCGTGCATTAGAAGATAACGAACATGATGGCCCATTCATCGCTCTTTGTCGAGTGCAACTTCCTAATTTTGAATAACAACTTACTGTCTCGCGACACGGGACACTTGGATTTATTTAAACATTAACGCTCGCGGGCAAGGCTTGCTTGCCATGTGTCAAACAACATGTTTTTTCGTTTTTCTTTTCTTTTTTAAACAATGGTGAAAACATATCTCACGTGTCAGGTCCGGGATTTCAGCAAGACGTGAGTTCATGTAAATATGTCAAGCATGCCAAACGACGTCAAATGCATAGCCCTACCTATAATATTACCATTATCTTTACTGCGACAATTACTCCCAATCACAATGGCTGGGGTCACTGTTAACCTTGCTCTCGATCAGAAGTTATGGTTTAATTTAAGAGACTGTTATTGAACATTCACACACCGTTATAAACCTGAACTGACGTCGGTTCAAACAAGGTCAGCCGTCTAGATGTGAAAGAACGCAACTATAGAATTTAAAAATGTAGGCCTACGTCATGTTGATAGCTCATATATATTCTGTAGAGTACAGCAGTACCTAGCAAAATGCACCTTCATGTTTCCCAATTATTCCAACAAAGTCAGTTGGACCTTTATATACAATCCCGGTTTGGCCTAGTCTGAGCACACATACGATAAATATCTAAGGTAACAAAAATAAAGAATAGGGGAAAATCTCTAGCTCAGCGCAATATATGACTGGAGCATTCATTAATCAGTAGCGTACATTAATCAGGTGAAACTAGGTAATCTAGCTGATACAAAGTACATCATAAACAGCACATGCATCTGTTCTCTGGACGTATGGACATACATGTACATGGCTAGGCAGAGCCGAGGGCAGTGGCCCCAATATTTTAAGTCAGCACCTCATTTCTGTAGCCATCCCACGCATCTGTAACATGCAGTTGAGACGCGCATAACTTGCCTTTCCCTCGTGATTAATACTAGCAATTGTTACTGTAACTTACAAAATCAATTAAACCTTGTTCGGTAACTGGATAAGTGTTTTTAACTGGATTACAGGTAGATGGGGGTACTTTGTAATTTATATTGTTGTTATAGCCAGCAGGATTTCACACGAGTACTGGTAGAGTACGTTGAGGTCATGGTTATCTTGTATTAGACTCAGACAGAAAAGTGGGAGAAAAGACAGATAACTGGGAAAGGGACGTTAATGTGTATGCTTTCCAGCATCCATCACCGCACACGCATCTCACCTCTCCCTCTCTCTCACAAACACACACACACACGCTCCCTCTCTCTCTCTCTCTCTCTCTCTCTCTCTCTCACACAACACACACACACACGCTCCCTCTCTCTCTCTCTCTCTCTCTCTCTCACACACACACACACACGCTCTCTCTCTCTCTCTCTGCCTCTTATTCTCTCTCTATCTCACGCACACGCACACACACACGCACACACACACACACACACACATCTATCAGTGCAACCCGTTGAACCTCACCTGTCAATGATCCTGTGCCACTGCTCTCTGTACTCAAGACACAACACAAAGGACACGGCCCTGCCTCTACACACTCCAGTCACCTGAACTGTGTGTATCCTAGCTTATCCTGCTAAAGGTTAGTCCATGTCAGCGCTGGATCAAGTGTGACATCTACGTCGCCAATCTACACTGTTGATACCGATACAGTTACAGCAGACACGCTTAGACTAGCTCTAGTACTGCAGCGTCTTCCAGATTTTTCTGTGAGCCTTAATAACTGCCAATCGCCCTTGGGATGAAAATTCGAACTGTGAATCAATAAGGATTATTATACACGTACAATAAAATAGAAATAAAAACGCCAGTTGCTTAATTTCCCCAGATTAAGCTAGTTCACGTAATTTCACTGCCGTACTACTACTCAGAACACTTTCCTTCGCCAACATTTTTATGGTAATCTATTTACCTTGCCATATCCAGTGATCGTGAACAAACTGTACAAAACAACGCTCTTCAAGTGTAAAAGACAAAATGTTAGTGAGGAGGGATTCCTGTGTACCTGTAAGAAAGAGAGAAGCTAGAGGCGGAGAATGGAAACATTTTTTTCTGTGATTAAACGTACTTGATTCTCGGCCGTCATTTGGTAAATCCATTATTGCGCATTCTGAACTGTTTTAACACAAATATATTCTTCCGAGGCCAGCATATAGGCTAGCACAGGTGGTTTTACCAGATATGGAAAGCGTAAGGCCTTCATAAGTTGCAAGTGTACTCCATCAGAATAGTTTTGAACTTGCTAAATGATTGTGTTTTACTGCTAAGTAAAGCGACTTTTTTGTAAACAATTAATCAGAGAAACCTCATGCGTGATAAAGGAATCTGCACTTCAATGTGTAGCGTTTTGGTCTTATTACGGTAAAAGCTTCACGCCTTTAACATTTAGGCCTACAATGACAAGTGAGGGGTGAAAAGTTACGAATGGCGCAGAGATGATAAAATATCTTCTGACTCACGAACACAGCAAATCTGAATTAAAAGCAAACAGATATGAAACGCATGTTTATATTTTTCTGATAAAAAACACAGTATGTTACCTCTCTTGAGTCCCAAAACAGTGTGCTAGCTATATCATTTGCAACAACCCATTGCCTTGTATGCTTCCCAATGAAAAAAAAATTAAATAAAAATATAAATAAATAAATAAAATGATAAAATAATAATGAACAGCCGCACGACTTTTTGTGAACATATTTTGGAAGAAATACATAAATAAAAAATAACAAAAAATAAATAAAATAAGCCAAATAATGCATAATTAAATAAACTTTGCTTTAATATAAAATCAATTAAATGTGTCCCTACACATATAAAGCGAGGTTAATGTGTGTCAGATAATTCACCGTGAGACTCAGTGGATAAATACATGTATGTACCAGTAGTAGTAGTCAGCAGACTGGAGGGGGGAGATAAGAGGACGGATATCCGTGGAAGCCATGACGCCGCGTGATAAGTAGTGGTTTTACTCCGCTGTCATTGACTTTGCTCTTGAGATTAAATATGTCTGTAAGCAGGGAAGCGTTCGGGGGTTGGGGAATAAAAGCCATCGACAGAAAATATCACCTTTCATGCCGTATATTCATGTATAAAGAGAACGGGGGCGGTTTCTGCTAAATTCCATAATATATTAGCCAACGAAGCCTGTGCAGTTGAAAATGTCCACTCTGTATCAAAATCTGATCAAGTATTGTTTCATTTCTCGTGTTGGCTTAAATAAAAGACAAATGGTTCATTTGATAATTTGAAAAAAAAAAAAAAAGAAAACAAAATCTACAGGTTTAAAACTAAATTTGAAAGACAAAGCGGTGTCTATTCAAATACAAATCAAATAACAACTTAAAAAAAATCAACAACAAATCTCTCTGGGTGCTAATGTGAAGGAAGGGCAATTGAACAGGAAACCAGAGAGAGAGAGAGAGAGAGAGAGAGAGAGAGAGAGAGAGCGAGCGAAATCAATCTCGGGTGTTAATCGAACTATTAGTGCTTCGCCCGAGGTGTTCCAAATGTGGCGAATGCGCATCTTCTCTATCGCAATCTATCCGGAGATGTTTGTTTTCGAAATAATAATGGAACTTTTATTTAATGTAGCTCTTCATAAGGCAAATATTGTTCTTTTTAAGGATGAATATGTAGAAAAAAAATCTTCTCAATAACGCCTCTAAAATTCTCATTCGTTTTATGGCTGTCCTTGCTTTCTGTAGAATTGGGATGCATCCTAATGACAGAATAATAAGAGAGAAGGTAAACAGAATGGTTTCTTGAAAATTTCATATACCAGTATGCATATGTTAATCTAAGTTTTGTTCTCTCCAAAGGTAAGTTGGCGATTAAAAATATCCATCTGCGATTATTCAAAGAATGAATATATTTAAGTTTGTTTACAATGGATCACTTTAACAATTTTTATATATAAAAGTTACGCTAATAAAATCCAAGAACATGAATATATTTCATGTAATATTTTACACAGCACGCTGTTCCATAGACTGACCTTTGAACTTGAAAGCCATGCGTTATACAGTAGGTAAAAAGGTGTCCTCAGTTATACCACATAGATATGTCCACTTATATATAGATGAAGATATGTTTATTGCCACAGTGACATAGCACATCATATGTCAACTGAAACAAGCCTTAGTACCGTTCACTTTACCAGAGGACAGCTTAGCTGGATAATGATGCTTTTTTTCTGTTTCTTCTTCTTCTTCTTTTTTTTTGTATGTGTGCACATGATAAATGTGGAAAAAAACCTTCTCTGTGACCATGACAGAGGGTAGTTGTCCCTCGTTAATGTAATACGATCCCATCAACCCACTGCCCTACTGTAGCTTGGTAAGGTCGTGGCCTCAAACAAAGAAGACACCCCTAAATGTAGGTATACATCAACAGAGATGTAGACTAATGGGTTTTGATACACGAATGAACCAATGAAACAACTCCCCCCCCCCCAGTCAAACCCATCCGCTAATTAACTTTAATACATACACTCAAGACGAATTAAACGCTGTGAAAATGATATAAGCCCCACCCCACCCCAACCACTTCCCCCCTTTCCACCCCGTGCCGCGAATTTTTGGGATCTTTCTTCGGTGCATACTGTAAATAATCGGCGTGCCATATATACTAATGACTGCGTGCAGTAAACCTCAAGACCACTGCGTGGAATGTTAATGTTCTCAATAGATCCCTCATAACTTGAATATTGTACGCGTACATCCTTCTTTCTCTTTGTTCAAATATCCACCTTCTACTCACTGAGTTAATTAAGTCTCTGGATTCTAATACAGTACAGAAGTCTACATTGTTATATGCATGTATATGGCTAGTTGGTGTCCACTTTGTTAAAGCCTCGCTTTGCCTCCATGTACGCTATCGGCTCGTCAGCAAACATGCCAAGTCTCTGGACTGAAATAGAGGAAGTAAAGGTGCATTTTTACAAATAACAACAATAATAATGATAATAATTAGAAGAAAAAGAAGAAGAAGAAATGATAATAAATAAATAAAATAAATGAAAAAAGACTTTCAGTTTAACCCCATACACACGAACAGTGTGTGTGTGTGTGTGCATGTGCGTGTGTCTGTGTAAATGATGGCCGGGTGTGATAAAAACATAAGCTTAGAAAGATTAAAAAGTTGGGGCATTATTATTTCAGAAACATTTTCTATCGAGATAGTTAAAGCAGACAATTAAATAGTAATAAAAAAATCTAAAGTGTGATCGACTCCTCCACACTTCCACCTACTTCCGACCAGTGAGAGCGCGATCAGTACAATGGCCACGACACCCACACACAGACCAACGATGATGGTGAACAGCTTGGTTTGATGGAAGCGTTGCTTTTCTGGAGCGCCGCCATTCTGGAAAATAGGTCAAGTGTTGATTTGCTCTGTACACATATAAAGAGAAATTCATTTCATAATATTTGATTGCTAAAAGTATGATCTAGAATAGAAACGGAATAACCGTGTTAAACATATTCATGAACACAAACGTGTCAACCAAACCATCGTCACACCTTGAACGCATAACTAAATGTATGAATATTTCATGAGACCAAAAAAACAAGTATTAAATTGTCTATACTTCCCCACCCCACCCCCAACTTCTTGATGGGCAAATACTCACCTTTTGCAAATGTACTGTTTATTTCTGGTATTAATTATACCCCTGTTAATATGTAGGGCTACACCTTTAATTTGACCCATGAGACGGTTACGCCCATAGAGGTACATATCGGTATTATAAGCGGGCACACATCTTCTAGCCGCTATTACTTTTTACATCCAGCTTAACAAATGATTAAGTCACATCCATTTTACTTGGTCAATGTCCCAATGAAACAGACTTTAACTGGGACGAGCTTGAAATATGCTGAACAGAACACATAACGTAAATTTAATTTCAGCTGCGTAATAACACCAATTTCATTGACGATTTAACGACATACATGCATAGGTCACTTTAGTTCTGTATACCTAAAAAGTTTCCATTGGAACTGGAGGAATATTTGCGATTTTACTGAACTTATTGGGTTTGAATCGTCAAGGTCTTTTCTGTCTTTTTAATATCCGTGCTGTACAGTGTAACATGTTTAATCTGACTTTATTTCGTTTTGTTTTTCTTATTTCGAAATGTAGCCCCACAGTCAGAAATATCACCATGGCTAAGTTTCCTCAGTTTTAATATACAATAAAATTCGTAACCCTAGCCTGCCAATGCGCTGTAAACATATTCCCCACCTACCTCAACCATATCCATCTTTCCAGCTTCTGCCATATTATACAGTACTTGAAACTTCTGAACGACGTCAACAAACAACAGTGAGAGTCCTTCAATCCCGGTGTAACTTTATGAAAGTCCCTGCTGAATTAAAATCCGGTTACGTTGACTCACAGGACAAAAAGAGAAAAAAAAAACGTTGACGTATCCTCCTTTGCCCTATTTAAGTAGAACAATACCTGTATAAGAGCGTTAAAAGTACATGTATATAAATGCACTACGTGTGGTGACACCGAACGACGCCTCACTGTGGACCAACAACCTACATGTACCTGTGGCTGACTAGGGCCTTAATGTCGAG